TAATAGAATCAATGCCCAATTTATCCAAACAGAGTCCCTAAATATCTCATTAATAAGCAACACTGTGAAGCTTTGAAAATCTCTATGGGCACTGTTTACACTTACAACTCAACCTGGTTGATTCTTCTGTCAGAAAACAATGTGGACAGCCACAATAAAAGTCATCCTCCATGAATTCAAATCCATCCCTTCTCCTTGGCTTTTGGGCAAGAAGGAAACAGAAATTTTGATCAAAACTCTTTAAGAAACTTCACCATCTTTGATGGGTTCTAACATGGTTAACAAGGCCACCAAGTGGGAAAAGAAGTCCAGGGACAGCATGGCCTTCAAAGTTAAGCCAGCAGACAAACTCTGGACCTTCCCTGGGTCTTACCACTGGCCCCACTGCTCTCTCCCCCAATGACCACCAGGCCCAGCCATCATCTTTTGAACAAGTAAACAAGAGAACTAGTCCCTCCTCTTTGTATATCCCTGACAAAACTTTACTTCTCTGAAACTCCTTTCTTTTACGTTATCTTTCAAGCCAAAAGTAACACAGAAGAGAGGTGACTGCTCCTCCCACAAAGCACAGCATAATAAAATGTTTGATCAAAATATTTTAATAAAGATTCTTTCTGACATAGATACACATACAAATGGTTGTACATAGCTGTCATAGTCTGATTGACCTATTGAATATATATCATTCTTTATACATCCAAAACCCACCAATAGATCCATCACAGCTCCCAGCTCGCCATAACCTGACAAACTAAACTTGTATTATCTGCAAGGAGTGGAAAATAGCAGGACTCCATTTTTTTTAAAAAAAAGGATTTCTTGATTTTTGTAGGATAGAAAGGCAGGCAAACAGCCATGCAAACTAAAACCGAAAGCTCACTTTGGGTAAATAGCTTCTTGCTCTTCCTTAGCTTTGTTTTTAAATTTATTTTATTTTTTTTCTTAGAAAAATAACAAAGGATTTCACACCATAGGCAAATCAAACCAGTCTTTTAACTTAAATAATTCTCCACAATTAAAATAACTTATATATGTACATATATATTAAAAGCAATTAAATTAGAGCTTCTAAAAATGCACAGCACAGCCTGGAAAAATATTTGCTTAGCATGGCCTTACTTATAGGTCCTATTGCTGTGATGTTTTTCCCTTTAAGAATGCAAAGGAGTCCCCTTTCAAAAAAAGAGATCAATTCATTCATCAATTAAGAATACACCTTTCCTGTAATTTTTGGACTGAAGCAATTTATTAAAGCTCAATTTAAATACAGGGATGATGCAACTGAAAAAATCCAGGTGACCTTTGATAAACCTAAGCAGCTCAGACACATCAATAGGTCTCTCCATCCTTGTTGGCAAATAAACCTTTTCAACACTTGGCACACAGTATAAGTTAATCTATAAAACAGAATTTTAGAGGCATTAAAAAAATCCGCACATAAGACCCATGACCTTACACATGATACATACTGTGGATGTGGGTCATTGAAGAAGAACAAATAAATACCATGAATGGTTAATACATCATTGCGGAGTGGAAAGTAACAAGGTGCACATAAATATTTTTAAATGCAATTCTTTCAGCCACAGTTGTTGTTTTTTTATATCACTCTTGCCAAAAACTTTTGAGCGTTTTCACAGTTCAGAGACAATAAAAAATACAAGTCTTTCATAGCAACATGTCTCTCTTTTATCTTTTCACTTAGATAAATCTACCTTCCGTGTTTTTCTCCTGGCTCAGAATCAAAATTTATTTTCAAGTGCCCTTTCTGATTTGTCTGAATGAATATTCCGTCCTACAAGCCACCCAACCCCAGACTCCTCTCCCCCTCAGCACCAGCCAAATTCACAATTATTAGTAAGATTAGTATCAATACTCTCCACACTTCATACCCAAGCGACTACTTTTCAAACTTATTTTGAACCTTAAAGGAAAACTGCTTCCTGGCGTCTTAGGCTGCCACCAAAGTTGCCACTTTTCTGAGAAAAAAAAGACATCCATACTTCAGCTCAACTCCACCTCCTTCCTCCCTCCCTCCCACTCCGAAGACCGAGATTCTGGGGATGTCAAGGCTAAAGTCCCGTGTGTCTCTGATACGTCTCCTCAGTTCTCGCCTCTGCTTTGTTTGCTCTGCAAATGTTTCACAGCTACCAGAGGACCCAAATAAGGGGTGGGGGCAGCGCTTCCCTTTCCTCTAGCTTTTGGGTCGGTCTTATGTTTCTCAGGGGTGTGTTTAAGGCTTCTCCGTGCACTGTTTGCAGAGGCTGGAGGAGACGCTGTTGAACAGGGCGCACTTCTCCGGGCAAGAGGCAGCCGGGGGCAGCCCGGCGCTGAACGGGTAGCCCGCAGCCTGCTCGTAGGCGCCCAGCGCCGGGTGCAGGGCAGCGGCCGCCGCCGCCGCCGCCGCGGAGCTGGGGAGCGAGGCGGCCGAGATGGCCTGGCCCTGGTTGAGGTAGGCGACCAGGCGCCGCATCTCCTCCAGGGCCTGCGCCTGCATGAG